GATGAGGATGACGATGATGCATGATGACGGATGATGATGGATGATGATGATCGATGATGGTGATGGATTGAGGCGCCAGGTGGTTGATAGGGGGCGGGGGTGGCTACTACTACTACTACTACTACTACTACTACTGCTTCTACTACTACTACTACTACTACTACTCCTGCTGCTGCTGCTACTACTACTACTACTACTACTATACTACGACGACGACTTCTATTACTGCTTCATTGAGGGTTAAAGGAGAGGCTCAAAGCCTTTAAACCCTTCGGGGAGAGGGAGAAGATTTGCACGGCAACAAAACTGTTCACCCGCAAAAATCGAGAAGATACGGTCGACATGCTCTAATATTCAGAACCCTAATGGGAGCCCCGTAGGTACTGCAGCGCCTGAATATGTACGGAACGTATCCTGGTCCTAAATAATATCAAGGGTCCTCTAGAAGTTAGCTGCTACTCCTAACCCTAAACCCTAAACCCTACTCTTTATTTAGGGCGTTGTGAACCTGGAAGCCCGAGGCTTGGAAAACCAACCAAGCCCTAAACCCGAAGCGCGGTTGTGAAACCCTTTAAGAACCCCCAAAACCTACTGTTGATACTATAAATCCTGCATTACCCATAATAAGGAATATATCATAATTCCCATAGTTTAGGGCCCTTCAGGTACTGCAGGAGTTATCTTATCAACAGTACAAGCCTTAGCAGCAGGCCGCGGGACGATGCACGCCGGATGAGTTTGCAGCCTGGAAGCCGCAGGATGGTTGGGAGTAAATCCCCAAAACCCTAAACCCTTAAAACCCTAAAACCCTTAATAAACCCGAAGCCTTAAATCCCTAAAACCCTAACCCCTTAACGCCGAAACCCTATAAAACCCGGCTTGAACAAGAAGGCTCCCTTAAATGGGGTACTATAGGGTTCCATAAAAGGTACTATAGTATAGTAACTATAGGGTTCTATAATACGGTTCCCTCAGGGGTCCTTTAGGGTTCTAGGCCCTTTTGTATCAACTATGTCAGAGTGCAGGGCTTAGAGTCGGTGGGTTTCAGTTTCTATGGCGTAGGGTTCAGGGCGTATTTGTGGGATGTAGGGATTGGGTTGTGGGTGAACTAGTCAGTCTTATGATCGAGTCCGGGTTCCAAAAAAATCAGGCACTTGTTTTGCATTGCTGTGGGCTTCACGGACCAGGAGTACTCACCGGCCCGGCCATATAATTAGAATAAAGATCCGACCCCTACATTATGCTTGATAAAGGATGGTCTCAGCTTCTGTGCTTCCGGTAAACTCACTACAAGGGGATCGGGGCTGTTGTGAATGGCAGAGCGTTGTAGTGCTCAATTTCATTTAAGGCATTCGTCGTAGCAGGTTTCGCTTGAGCACGAAGCCGGAACAAGCCCCCAAATACTCCACAAACCTCTCAAACCCAAACAACATTCAGAGCGGAGTTTTCATGAGGCCTGTGCCAGTCCTCTTTATCGTGTCTGTTGGGGCTTCTCAACATTAAGCTTCACAAAGAAGCCGGAGCTTGTTCGGAAGCTGGGGTAAAGGTAATAGGGTTTACGAGTAGCAGTATCAAGACATGAAGATCGTTGACAACCGAGCGTCATGTCCACCACCAGCCTCACCGACATGACAATCGCAACCATCGTCATCGTCACAAGCCATTCAATGAGAGATGTCATTCAAAGTGTTTCTGCATGGGTATCGATCTTGACGTGCGTGACCATAGCAAGAAGCATACCTTGCCTTGCTTGTTGCCAGCAGTGCCTGGTTAGCGTTTGCATCAAGACAAGGAAGGTTAGACGACCAGCGGCAAGTCACACTAGCAGCCGTGGCAAGCAGAACTGAGATGAGCACCAAAATGCGAGACGTATGTGTAGGTACATATATACATGTAGAAGTAATCTGTGTGCACTTCAGAATCAATACTTTTGCCGCCGGGGGTGAGACCGATGTGGTATGGGACGTGGCAAAACCTGGGCCGTTGGTGCAGCTCTTGCTTATTATTCTGTCACGGAAGCATTTCACCGGCTGGAAGCACTGTACGGGAGTTAGCCATACAGTTTCGGCCCAGGGTGAGACAAGAGATTTTCGGTCAGGAGGTCGTGCATGTGCGTGTTTTCTACACCTCGGGCGAAGTGGCATTGGACGAAAGGTTGCATGTGGACATGCCGGTGGGAGTTTTGCTGAAGCGAATTTCGCAGCAGAAGAAAACACCACGATCGCATCTATCTCTCGTGTATGATGGCAAGATACTTTCTTCCAATACTCTTCTTCGCGACCTGGAACTGGTGGAAGGTGATTGCATCCATGTCGTACGATCTGCCGGAAATGCGTATCCAGCCTGGACAGCAGGCGGAAGAATTGACCATTGCTTACAGTGCTTCCTGCTCCTGTTTTGCAGTGAGCACAGTGTGTGTGTGTTTTTCTTCTGTAGCACCGCCATTACGGAAGAATCCAATCTGAACAGCCTCGGCTGCAATACAGCACTGATAAACTACCCCTCGAATATACTTATCGATAAACGAATTTGCAAATTTGCATTTATCCATGCAGCTGTAACTATTATTTATATTCGGTTTTGTTTTACTACAAAATATAGAGCATAATATATATATATATACACACACTGTAGCCTATTTCTATACAATAGGTAATTCTGTATTGCATTATGTTAGATGTCAGCCACATTTTCTTCATTTATGTGATGTTACGTTAAGCTTAATTTTGTTACAGTCTTTCATATTAAACAACACGATAGTATGCTATAGCGGTTGAGAATTTGCAATTTATGATCGTATCACATCTTTTCTTGAAATTACCACTATATTAAGCCCTCCCCGCATCTTAATCAAAAAGCGAGGCTCGGATCACCTGGAGCTGGAAAGAGTGTCCTCTTTCGATCCTTCTGCCCCGACCACTTTCAGGTCGAAAGTGTGGGGCGTTGATCTCTGAAGTTGAGGATTTAGACCCGGCTTTAGGGGTTTTAGGGGTTTAGGAGTTTAGGGGTTTTAGGTTTTAGGGGAACTGACCCTTAGATGCCCTAAGTGCCCAAGTACCTGTCAAAATCATACACAATTCGGAAAGAAGCTAATCGACATTACAGCTTGTGGTGCTAGACCAAACGCAGGCTTACGGAAGTGTCAGGTACTTCGAACGCAAAGGGTTAGGGCGGGTAGGGCTGATGGCCTACACAGTTATATATGTGGTGGAGCAGTTGCTGGTAGGATCTGATTAGAGAACTGTAACTCGGATAGTTTCAGTATGCGTCGAGGTTTCGACACACTAAGAATGCATGGCAGGGTTTTGGAAAAGAACACTGCTAGCTAGATATTGAACTCCTTTTTTGCCCAGCAGTTTCAGGACACCTACTCGGAGTCATTGGGCATTGCTTGCCGAAAAGTCTTCATCAGAACGGATGAAGAGGAACCGGCAGTATGCTCAAGCATTTTTTGTTGCTGATTCGCGGCGGCTGCTACTACTGCAGCTACTGCTAGCACCACTACTGCCAAAATGCTGCTGCTACTCTACTACTAAACCTACTGCTACTACTACTAACGTGCGGATACTTTCTTTCTATTGTGTTTAACCCCCACGAAGGAGACCGTGCAAGTGAAGTTCTGGAACGTTCATGGGGTCGCACCACGCATCCGGACACAGTCGTGTCCTTCGCTGCGACACCGTTCACGATCGGGCGCCGGCTTTCTGGTGGTGTTCAATGTGCCTGCTGCCGATTTCGCAAATAGTTTTGTGTTTGGAGTGTTCAAAGATAGTTGACAGAAGCAAGTGCCAAGCGCACTTTTCCTACGCGTTGGTTTATATATCTCGTTTCTGTGCGGTCGACACGGCACCCTTAGGTAAACCCCACAACCCTCTGTCCACTTCCTCATTTGGCCGTCGTCAGAGGCCTTGGGGTTAGTTGATACGTTTTGCTACCGAGGTGGATGTGCTACGTACTCTCTTGCAAAGGTGTAGCAACACATATCCTATTAGAGATGCCAAGTCATGTTAACATCTAAGGCCATGCTGGGGCCTGAGGGCTCCCAGGGGGTTGGTGGCCCCAAGCTGAGCACGAAACCTTTCCTCAACGCAGGGTTCCGAGATTGCAAGCCCGGCAGTAGCCCGAAGGCTGCCAGCAGGGTCTCAAGTCTCTCGCTCTCTCTCTCTCTCTTTCTCTCTCTCCCTCTCTCTCTCTCTCTCTCTCTCTCTCTCTATATATATATGAACATACACACAACCAACTGGGCTACTTAGTTACTTGGCGGGGTAACCGCTTTCAAGGTGCAGAACCGAAGCACCTTCGAGGACCGTGGCACTAGTTGGCCCAGACTCCCTTGCACTACAAATTCTTACATGGTTAAGGGCTTTCAGGGTGGCTAGCATAGGAAATGTAGTGCATATTTTAGGGGATTGGAAAGCGCGGTTTGCAAGACGAGTTTTTTTTTTTTTTCGGGTTTCGGGTTTACGGGTTAGTTAACAAGGCCCCTAGCCTCGGCCCTCCATCTACCCTCCTTTTGACGGCTATCACTTGGGGCGATACAGCTCCATTTTAGGGTGCAAGGTGGGTCCTGAAATCGGAAGTTTTCAACAGCGTCATTTGGTGTGCGTATTATGATGCTTAGTAATTATCCGCGCGACTACTCTTATTACTATTAATTACTGCGATTACGACCATTATTACTATTGTATTTAGAGGACCTGCCCGCACTCTTCCACGAGTCTCAACACGTGGAGGGAGGCGACCCGGCCGCGACTTCGCATCTTTGCCTCGTTGGTGCCTCGACCCGTTTTAAAGCATTGGATTTACAAGGTTTAGGGTTAAAGGGGGTCGGTTTATGAATGCTTGGGTTTGGGGTCACGGTTTGGAAAATTTAGTTGCTACATAAGAATTGGAGCTTTTGAGTTTAACTACGGAGTCTAGCTACGGGCTTCATGCTTGTTTAGATTTCGGCACTGCTTGCATTAATGCGAGTTTCTTGGGTTTCCTTGGGGGCATTCGATAGCTGAGTTTCTAGACTCCCCGCCATGCACCTCAACAGTCAACCCATCGGAAATCCCCCAAATTACCAAAAAGCCGTCGAAAGCCTAAACCAAGCACTCTACACCCCCATAACCCAGAAGCCAGGTTCTGCGACTACTACTGCTTCTTATGCTGCTGCTGCGGCTGCTGCTGCAACTGCTACTAGTGTCAATAATAGTGCTAGTACTAGTGCTGACATACAATGAAGCAAACGAAATGAAATGAAATAAATAAGGATCCTAGTACTAGTACTAGGACTAGTACTAGTACCAGTACTACTACTACTACTACTGCTACTGCTACTGCTACTGCTACTGCTACTGCTACTGCTACTGCCACTGCTACTGCTACTGCTACTCCTACTACTCCTACTACTACTATTACT